ATTTAGTCTTTGATACTTTTTCTATATGACATAATGCTATAAATGCTATAACAATAAGTGCCACTGGATTACATGGTTTGCAGTGGTTTTATATACTCCCATAACTGTGATGAAATTGGTGTGATGAGTAGAAAGTGGAAGGAGTCAGTACCTAAATAACTCTGTACATTATTGCAATATTTTCGTGGATTTGAAAATGATAGGTTGGTTGGGGATAATCATAGTTGTTTGGGAACTTTTGAACACATCTTTAAACTTACTTGGTAGTTCCAGAGACACCAGGATCAGTCTTCTCCTTCTCTGCAGAATTTTGATGCTCTGTCCTGGTCTTTTAATTTTCTCTTTAAAATGGCTGATGTGAGAACATGTCTCTGAGAAAGGTACATTTCCTTCCCACGTTGTCCTGGTTTGAGTGTTTTGTCACTGCTTTCTGGAATTTCATTTTACAGTAAAAAAAGGCAGACAAACCTAGAAATCAAAGTTTGTCATAGTATACAGAGAGATTCCATTACATCCAGCAGCATTCTTCATTACAGAGTCCTCAAATAATTTAATTCTTAGTGAAGATTAACAACTTTCCTCTCTAATTCAGTAGTTTCCTGATTGTTAAAACTCTTGTGTCATCATGTCTTTCCGTAAGGGTTAAGAATTGTAGCTTATTTTCAACACAATAGCAGTGTGATTAAGCAGATATTTGTTTTACTGGGATTTACAGGCACTGCCGTTAGCTGGTTTGAGATGTCCTGCTTGCCCATGGCTCTTGTATTTTTGCTCTCTATTCCTGTTAAATCAAGACATGCTCAAGTGATGCAGTTGCTGTAAAGAGGAAGATGTTTTACAAGCCATGTACTGTGCAGGTCACAGCAGCTGAATCCTCTTTTGTGTGCTACAGAAAGGTGAGAAAAGAAAGCTGATGGACAAACACAGAAGAGAAAGTTCCAAAATGTAGCAAAGCTTCCTCACCACTTGGGCCATGTCCTGAAAGTGTTGCTGCACACATTGGCAGTGACAAACAGGGCTGGTGGAAAGCAGTGTGGTAGCTGATGGTACAGAACCTCCAGGGCATCTGGGGTTCTCTGGGGACACCACAGACTGCTACAGCTGGGGGCTAGAGATTGAGTCTTGTGGCAGTTTTAGTGTTCCATGGACATTGCAGTCTTTCATTGGACTGATAGGGATTCAGTGCTCCCATTCACTATAGCAAACAATAAAAAAAAAAAAGAACTTAAAGAAATCAATTAATTTTTCTGACACCTATTAAGTGAAAAACAAAACAAAAAATCCTAGTGGCTTAATGAAAAAAGTGTATAATCTGATTAAAACAAGAGAGGAAAGAAGTTGCCTTCACTAGTTAATGCATTTTCTGCAAATACAAAATTACTGAGTACCAGAATTTTTCAGCTATTCTGAAATTTGGCTATTGCCTTACAAGTCCTGCCAGTTTTCCAAACAAAATATTGTATTACAGTTATTTTACCAACAGCCTGAGCACAATGGAGGAAGGACACCCTTTCTATCATGTTTGTGTCAAATGCCACTATTGCTTCCCATAAAGGACTGTTCTGCATTTCTGTGCTCTTTCCTGCCTTGAAGCACAGTCCTTTATGAGAAGGGTTAATAGAATCCTTTTATTTTATAGAGGAATTCACACAAATTTTGCTGAATAACACTTGGATTCTTGTAAGGAAAACAAACTCAACAGCTGAAAAATGCATAAACAGGCCTGGTTCCTGGCACTTTTGCCAAGTTAAAGCAGAGAGAGCAAAACCAGTAGCAACATCAACAACACATACCCTGAGCTGACTGCACTGCACAATGTTCTCCTGCCTGCCTTTATCTGAATGGCTGTGACAGTCCCTGAGCTCCTCAGTGCCTAACAGACACACCTCAAAAGACAAAAACTGAGGGCCAAGATGGGTGGCTGTTTAATATTTTATATCTTATTAATCTATTTATTTGTATTGATTATTGAGACTGCTCAAATGCCAGATTACCTGGTTCATTTAGCACACTCCATTTCCATCTCTGGCTGGCCATGGTAATGTGCCCATAGGAAGGGGGAGCTTGCTTTTCCCAGAAGCCCAGTGCAGGGTGAGGGTCCTGGCATTTTGGGGCTGACTGGAGGCAGAGACTGCCACAGTGTTTATTACAATTCCTCCTGCACAGCACTGGGGGTCAGACATCATGCCAGCTCCATTTCTCTTACACCAGTAGGATTAATTTAGCATTGCCCTCCTTGAATTCTACCTATTTGGTCACTGTCCCGGTCTCAGCCTCATTTAGACTGCTAGATAATTCTGTTTCATCAGAGTGATATAGGACAACAGAAATTATAGAGAATTCCAAATATTATATGCACTATAAAGGTCCCATGTATTATAGAGTACAATTATTAGCTGTTATAGAAAGCAGAAATCTACATTTTCCCAGCACATTTAGCATATTCCACAAGTGGCTGACACACCATAAGAACACAGCGTTTTTCATCTTTCTAGCCGTGGATCAAAGCTGAGGGGAGCAAAGCAAGTCAGAACATAGAGTCAGACATCCAGCAGGTGACAGACTTAATACTAAGAAAACAAGGGGGGCTTCTAGTGACACTTGTGACAGCATCATAGAGAATTTTGTACTTGAGGCTTCTCAGTCTCAGTCACTCCAAGCAGCCGCTCCTGGTGGTGGTCCTGTAGTCTTACACCAGCTTAACTGCAGAAGGCTTCACTTTTATCTGGCATATAACCAAGTGTATCTTGGTGCAGAGATACTTCATTTCAAAGCTCCATCCATCAGTTAGTCCCAAATTAGAAATTGGCTCTGGTTTAGGTATCCTTAAACTGACAAATTTGAGATCATGTCAAGGACTGTCATAGAAATTGGAGACCATAATGACTTAAATGAGGAACAAACCATCAGAGTTGTTATAATTAAACTTTTAACCTTCATTTGCCAGTTTAAGATTGCTAGGGAGTGAAGAAGAACAATTTTTAGTTTGGATATTCAGCTTTATGAACCAAAAACAACGGTGAATTTTGCATGTATGAATATTCTGAACTTTCTTATTTGAGAATAAAATGGTCAGCCATCCAGTTACACCAAGACACATCTGAATTCTGGCTAGAATAGTCCTAAAACAACATTCAGTGAGAAAAATGCTCTCTTCTTACTAGGTTTTTGGTTAAAAAAATCTCACCAATATGAGCTACATTAATATTACGGTTTCATGTGTGTTCATAGTTCAGCTTTGCTTTTTTTAACTTACTGATGCATCTGAACAGCATGTGAAATATTTTATCTTTGAATTTTCTTGTGTTTTTTTATGAAGCTAAGGAAAAATACTGTAGTTGTTCCATTTGGAGGCGAATGTGGCACATAAATCACTTTCGTAGGAAAAAAGCTTTATGTAGGTAGGTTATATCATGAGTGACAGGTGCTTTAAATAATGTCTCTAGATTGAACATAAGTTGCATCAAGTTCCACATACATATTTTTCAATGGCTTTAACTCAACCTCTTCTTTGTTAGAGCTACATTGAAGTCTGTAAAAAAAGACTACCTGTCCTTGTTTCAGAAGATTTGGAATGTAAACCAAGCAGGACACTAAAGTTTTGGAAAAAATGGTTTAAAATGTAGAAATTGATCAAATTTTGAAGTTCTTGATTTCTAAAAGAAGTGCACTAGAAAGCATAAATGACAAAAAAGGAAATTATTCATTCCATGCTTCTGCACATTGGGTTTGAAGATACTCCCTTCCATCCCATTTCACAGACCAAATTGTACTTCAGGGGGAACTTTTATCTGGATTTAGAAAAGTGAGGTGGTGCAAAATGCTGACAGCAATAAAAATGTGCTTACAGTCTGGGTTATCTTTCAGTTGTCATGTGCAATCCCTTGTGGCCTGCATTTGGACTGGTCACTCAAAATCAGAGTTTCTGGGAGTTGCCCGTTGAACTCCATCAGTATCTCAATGCTTGGTTTCCTTCCTTAGTAATTTCTAACATCCAAATTAGAAATTTTGTGCAATATCATGCAGCTGTTTTATGCCCGTGTTGTTCAAACTGCAATGCTAACTTTTTAAATTGATAGTATTTTGTATCTTCTATACTAGTGTACAGATCCTAAAATCTAAATTTATGAAATGCACATTACAATAGCAAGAAAATAGGCCTTCCATGAACATGGTACATTTATTTTTTGTTGGACACTTCACCTGCCATCACAAGTTTTCCATTCTCTGTTTCTTTTTCATCTAGTTATTCCTGGTGCCACCTCTCTGTACTGTTCTGTTCTTTCTCCTTTTATTCTGGGCCATTACATTTGTACTGTTCTCTGGGTCTATGCAATAAAGTAAGGAGTCAAGCCTTCCACAAACATTATTTTTTCTTGTTGCTGCTGTCCCCTGAAGCACAGTTTCCCCCATATCTGTCCCTTCCCATTCTAGATGTGCCTTTAGCCAAAATGGCAGTGGTACAGGACAGCACATACATAACTCCCAATAGCTTGTTCCAGCTTGTTCCCAACTGGGTGGTTTGGACTTTTCCAGGTTGATAGGCCAATTTCCTTCAGGGCTTCCCCTTAGTTCTGATGCCTGCCCCATCCCCAGGAGGGCATTCTCCTCTATGCCCTCTCTGTCTTGCAGAACTGATGAGCTCTGCTCTTCCAATTCCTGTGTCAGTAAACACCCCTGCAGAGGGACATGCCTGCAGAAGGGGTCCTCCTGCTCCCATCCTTCAGGTTACTGTTGTCTGATGATGCTCCTTGCTCTGTATTTTGGCCAAAAAAGAGACACATATTAGACACCAAACCAGAAAGAGGACCACTATGGTTCAGCTGCAGTCGTGCAATCAGGAGCAGAATCTGACCCTTATTAAACACTGGGCATGGCCTCATGCAGAAAGTGATGTTCACAGTATTCCTGTGTGCAGCTCTATATGTCACTACTCTGAAATAAAAAAATTGTGGCATATCCTTCTTATCTAATTCACCTATTTTGTTCCCTCTTTGTAGAAGAACTTGTGAACAATGTTGGTGAACAGGAAAAAGACCAAAGCAGAAATTCCACAGATGCACAGTTACAGGAAGAGGCAACAAGGACACAAAATGAGAGTAGTCAGGGGAGTGATGGTACAGCCTGTCCTCCCAGATCCATCGTCCTACAAGTAGTCTCTTTGGACACTCCTCTGAGTGATGAATCCAGCTCAGAAAAATGCACTAACTCTGATCCGAACCAGAAAGATCTCAGCGATGCCCAGCAAGAGACCCAGAATACAGCCCCACTGAATGGTAATGCTTCATCACAGAGCACAAGCCAGTCTCCTGGAGCTGTCCAGGGTGAAGCTGCAGCAGTGTCTGGTATCTCCCTGTCAAACATCAACAGCAATGTAAAATACTGAAATAAGGTGTTGGACAAACCACCAGCACAGGACAGTTTGTTCAGGCCTGTGTAAAAGTGGTAGTATCCTAAAACATCAAATAGAAGCATATGAAAAAATACCAACTTCTTGATATCAGCTATTTGGGATCTACTGGAAAATTCTTTAGAGAATATACTTTAGTTGAACTTGAAGAATGGTTTTAGAATAATTTAAAGAATAAGGTGATCTTATTCAGAACAGATCTATTTAACATTTTCTTTTTGAAAAGAAAAAGTAATTACACTATTAATATCTGTTCCCCTTAGTTTGGGTACCTAATATGACTGTTATTTTGTAAACCACATCCTATATACCAAACATAGCGTGAATCCAAGAGTTAAGCTTAAGTAGATGGAATTTGCCAACTGTAGTAGTCATGGGACTGTGCCATTCACTTAATCAGGAGGATCAGTCTCTTGACTGTAGCTGCTAGACAAGTGGAGCAGCCAGAACATCGCTGAAACGTTAGAATATGTTTTTTAGAGCATAAGTATTTTATCCCAAGATGACCATGTCTAGTATCTAAAGATTGCAACACAGTGTCAAGGGCAACATGCCCAAGCCATGAGGAATAGATGTTATCAAAGGAAGAGGAAGACACTGTACATCTTCGTTTTATTTTCTAAGTTTGCTTATAGTTAGAATAAGCTTTGAGGTGTTAGGGTAATGAGAAGAATCAAGGATATAATGACACTTCTTTTCCTCACTTTTACTTAAAATGTGAAACTCATTAATGCTTTAATGACAGCAAGCCTTGCAATATTGTGCCAGAAGTATGGCATTGTCTGAGCAGCAGCATTGAAGTGCTTATAATGCTTAGCTTAGACATGAGTATATGACTTGGCATATTTCTCAAAAAACCTTTTTATGGAGAACTCCCACCTACTCTAGATTTCCACATTCCATGGCTCCATGCTTTTATTGTTGACAGGTTTTTTCCATCAGAAATAACAGATGGTTAATTTAGGGCCCTAAATCAAAATATTTACACTAAAATTACTTTCACAGCATTTGACGTTGTCTAATAACTGACATTTTATCTTTTGACATGTATTTTTTACAACAGGTTTGTATTAAAGCTCAGCTTAAAATTTAAGTGCCTTAGAGAAGTCCTCCATCTCCTGGATAAGGAATGCTGTAGGAAAAGCTGCATCTTTTGTCTTTCAAACTTGGCAGAAGGCAGCTGTGGTGTAGCTGTACTTGTGGGTCTTCAGATGGCTGACCAACAGAAATGATGTTTGAAAGATCAGATACAACTCAGTATGCAGTTAGCTCACACTGTTGCGTGAACTTTACATTCCACCTTTCTATCTTTACATTCCACCTTTCTATCTTTACATTCCACCTTTCCAATGAGAACAGAGATTTCTCATCTTATAGCATGCTAATCACATTTGTTTTCTAAAGCAGCAAATTTTTTAGAGAATGCATTTTACTTTGTAACTTCAAACTGAGAAATTTATTAAATGAGTAAGAAGCCATTAGGTTTTCAATACTGTTTTTGCACCTCTGTTGATGTCCAGTGGATCCAGACAGGACTCTTTTAACCAAGGTCAGACATTTTCAATGGAATGCTGCTTCAAGCAAGCAGAGGGTAGCAAACACCTGACCTTTCTCTGTTTCACAAATTAGACTTATTTGGGTATTCTAAGAGACACCATCTGTCAGGACACTCTCCATGTTTCTTCCAAGAAGGCTTCTCTACTTCTGTAGTTTCTGTCCTGAGGACTGGGGGGTAGAAGGCTAAGGGGATGTCCAGAGTGCTTGCTGACTCCTGGGATGAAGAAGTGAGCACCTGTGGGTGCTAGGGCTGGGAGGGTGAGATAGAAAGGAAAAAGAAAAGCAACATGGTTATTCAGGTTGAAATTTCATATGTTAGCTGTCATTGTTCTGTCTTTTATAAAAAGCAGAAAATCCAGTCAAGTTTTCTGTGATTCAATTACAGCAGTTGGGGAACACTGGACTATGATGTGTGTGCATTCTTGGGAGCTGTCAATGAATGTTTGGGTGTGCTATGATGTGGGGGTTCCCCATTAAAAAAATTAAAAAGTGGCTGTTTTCTGCTTTTCGTGTCACATCTCATTCTAGGTGTAGTTCTTGTAGACCATCACATTTTAGTGGCAGGAGTAGCTCTGCCCTGGGTCCAGGTTGGCGCAAAGGGAAGACTGGAGGGTCGCTTTTACAACCACTGCAGTCGAGACTGAATGTTGTTTTTCTCCACAAACACCTTTTTTCCTTTCCATCATCTCACTTTAATTTAATTGAATGATACAAGATTAAATGAAACTATTATAAGATGATTTTTTAAGTGATGATTTTCCTTTTCTCCTGAGTGATTTATTAATTAGAACATTAATTTTAAAAACTGCTTATGTTTAATTAAACGACTCCACATTTCAATGATTTATAAATGCTAATTGGCAAACTTAACTCCTCACTTGTGATGATAGCCACATTAATCCTTAATATCAAAATGCAAGGGAGATAATAAATCTGTGATAAAACGGATTGCCAGTAGCTCCACTCCCTGTGACAGGGGAGGACTGCCCAGTCCCACCGAGTGTGCAGCACATTCCACATCACCAGCAGTGAGCCTGTGAGAGCCTCTGGAGAGCAGCCAGGCTAAACAGCAGTGGGCAGATCCACGCCATGCACATGCCAGTTAGGTTTATGGTGCTGCAGGTGGCACCAGGGGATCACCTGTGCCAGGCAAATGCTTGGTGACCGCTCAGTGCAGCGGTGGCTCAGCGAGTGTGGAACCTCTGTGTCCCAGCAGAGCGGGAGCAGATTGCTGTGCTGCCTGCTTCCTTGGGTACACCAGGAGCCTGGGACTAAGGGAAGGCAGCCCTGATCAGGCATGGGATAAGGATGGAGGGAAGGTTAGATTTAAAAAGCAAATAATGTGTTTATAAAAAAGATAGGGTTTAGAAGATAACAGCCATTAGCAATCTCATTTTTTTAATCACATAAAAAAACTTGATGTACAAACAGAAAACTATATACACCTTAGAAGTTACTGTTTAGTTTTTTAAATTTATACCACAATATATGAAAAATATTAAGCTATTAGGGACCTTCCAGAGGAGGCCACAGGATGGGAAGGGTCTGGAGTAGAAGCCATATGAGGAGCAGCTGAGGTTACTTGGTCTGTTCAGCCTGGAGAAGAAGAGACTGAGGGGAGACCCAATTGCAGCTACAACTTCCTCATGAGGGAAAGAGAAGGGGCAGGCACTGATCTCTTCTGTGGTGGCAGCGACAGGACCTGAGGGAGTGGCCTGAAGTTATGCTGGGGAGGTTTAGCTGGGGTATTAGAGAAAGGTTCTTCACCCAGAGGGTGGTTGGGTGCCAGAACAGGCTCCCTGGGGCAGTGGTCACAGCACCAAGGCTGACAGAGTTCAAGAAGCTTTTGGATAAGGCTCTCAGGCACAGGGTTGTGGTTCTTGGAAGTGGTGCTGAGTGAGACCAGGAGCTGGACACGATGATCCTTGGGGGTCCTTTGCAACTCAGCATCTTCTGTAATTCCATGAATTGTCTTGTTTTAAGGCTTCAACAAACTCAAGTGTTAAATTTAAAATCAGAATATTTAGATAAAATAGCTTTTACTTTCATACTTCTTTTCACCCCCCCCTTTTTTTTTTTTTGTTTTTACAAATAATAATGCTAATAAAATTTTGCTAAATTCCTCCAAAAAGAGCCACAGGCTGAAGGATCTGTAGACATCCTTGTTCTAATTAATGTTATTCCAGTTTTGAGATGTTAAAAGCCTTTGAAGTATTGGTTGTCTGTATTCCACCTACATTAAATTGATTGAAAATAAAGGGTGGTGTAGGATGCAGTTTGTGGGAATGTGGTCCATCTGCTTGTGTCTGCATTACAGAGTGGGCAGCACACACTCTGCCACCATTCAAGGTAGTGAAACAAAGGTGAAATCAGTAGCAATTCTTATTTGTTTACAGTGAAGCCATGGCAGATTTGTAGGTATTAATTTTCTTCTTTCTTCATGCCTGTTCACCTGAGTTTTCTTTCCTCTCTTCCTATTCTCTTTTCTAAACAGTGCCTCTTCAACTCGCCATCATCTTTCAATTTTCCTTTCGGATCATGCATCATCTGCTTTCTCTTTCAGCTACTTCTACCTTAGTTTTCTGGCTTTCAAAAATATTCCCCTCACTATTTTTATAACTTTTAAACTTCTCCCAGATCATCTTCTCCACTTTTGAGACTTCTATGCTTTTTCTTTCTGACATTTTCAAGTCAGTGTTCTTCCTGGTGGGATCTCTCTATCAAGTGGATAAAACTCAGAAGTTATTACATGTGTTAGTAAATAACACTGTGAGTTTGCTAATTGTACCCTGCCTCCCATCTCAGTGTATAAATCCCTCAGCTGTACTCATTCAAAGCTACTGAAGGAATAGTTTAAGTAACAGTTTAATTCTATGATTGTCTACTTGAGATTCATGTTCTATCACTTAGTTTGAAAGCTGCTTGTGTTACTCTGTGTCATTTCTCCTATCTGATTGAATTTAGTTCTTAGAACCTGACACTGGCATCTTTCATTATCTGGGAGGAACTCAGACTCTGACTTGAAAGCCTACGGTAAAGAGGATTTAAACAGTGCTTTGCAGAGGGTGAATTTTGACTTTCAATAAGCTGGAACAAAAAAATGAACCAAACCCACTTTATTCACACTCATGTAAAAGTCTTCAGAGTTTTGTTTCATGCTGTGATCTATTGCTTTCATTCTATCTTTTGCCTTGTGGATTAACCATAATGATTATTTAATCCAAGCTGATGATTATTCTGGTGAGAAAGCAATTAAAGGAAGCAGTGACTGAAACCTCATTTTATCCTTAAAATATCTTGAGGAACTAGATTCTGTCTGTCTATGGCTGTGCAGATTCTCTTGACTTGGTTAACTGCCCCATTCAGGTTGCCAATCACATCTGTTTGTCTTCCAGGGGAGCCTAAACACTGTAAGTCAGAAGATATTGTGAAAGCCACGGAGCAGACAGAAGCACTGGTACAGAACTAGATCTGCTATTTCTCATAAGCTTCTGACATTTCAGGCAGGACAGGTAATTTGGTGATTTCTTTCTTTTAATGGGGAGTGTTTTATACCATAAAGGCTCGCTTAGTGCTATTTTTAATCTCTTTGTTCCATCCTAGTTGTCCTTATATTACAAAATGTTGAAATGAGGACACAGAATACCCCACTTTCAATGTCACCTTAAAAAAAAATCCAGTATAAAGAAAGGAAAACCAATACTTTTAAATCTGAATCCTTAGTGTCAGACTAAATGATCATGTGAAAAATCATCCTCAATTCAAGTATATGGAATATTGGAAGTAGAAGTATCAGAAATCTCTTGTTTATGAATTTTCATTTGACCTCTGTTGCAGGAGAAAAGAACTCTAACTGTTCCTACCTCATGATCTCAGAGGCTGTTATCTGTCAACTTGTTCTTGGATCATCCTATTTCTGTGGAGAGTGATTGAACAAAATGTTCAAAACTGTAAAATGTAAAACCCTGAGCTGGTAACTCAAGGCACTTAAAAATTTGCAAGATTTCAGTTGTTTTTGTGTTGCTATTTCCTCTTCTATTCTGCTTTCTTAAACTAGCCAAAATAATCTTTTCAGCCAAAGTTGGACCTTGCTTTATTGCATCACTGGTACCAGACATTTCCAGTTAATCATGAGACATGTGAAAACATGATGTTTGTCATCTGCCTGGGATTGCTGTTACGTGTCACTGCTGCTGGTGTCCACTGAAAATGGAAAATCAAAACAAAATGTGTTTCTAGATACTTGTTCATGCAATCATGCTGCATGCACCATAAAAGTCCTACTTGTTAGCTTCCTTAAAATATCTGGAAATAAATGTTTGTAGACTGTACAGGGAAGTTGCAAAGTTACGCTGACCAGCCTGCATGAATGAAGATTCTTCCCCCCTGCAGTGGCTGCCATATGGACAGAACTGGTATTGAACAAATTTGAAAGGTTTTGAAATATCTCTTAAAAATTAATTGAATAGCATCTGGCATTAAAGATTAAAACATTCTGAATCCTGTAATATTTTGAACAACAACACTACTGGTGTCAGCCCTTCCATGAAGCTGGTACTTATTGTTTTATTGGGTGGAAGAGACAGCAACAGAAATACATGAAAATTGCTTCACTTCAGCAAAATGTTGTGTTGCCTCTCAGACAGAATTGGAAGGCGACACAGAGGCCTTGTGTCATGGTTTATCTCAAATGCAAAGGTGACAACATGCATCCAGCAACATCTTTCCTAGAGTTTGTTTCTTTTTGAGGGGCAGCAAAAACAGCAGCACACAGGCAGTTACCTCTGCAAGAAGCCTCAGAATGAGCCCTCCAGCCCAAACTGTGCCCATAAAGGAACTCCATTTTCATCTCTTCTTCCCTTGAGCTGCACATGACCCCTCCTGATTTGCCTGGGTGTCTTACACAGCTGCAGCCAACTTCATTTCCCTCTGCTGGAACCTGCCAGGAAATTCTAGGCTCCCGTTCAGGTTGTAGGCACTCAGGTGGCTCCCGACGCTCCCTGTTCTCCTTTTTGGACCCTGTGGTTATTACCTCACTGAAGAAAAAGTTTCTAATCAGCCATGGTCCGCTCTGAAGGGGACTTGTGGGGGCAGTGGCACTCTCCTCTGTGCCAGGGGTGATTGGGACCTGTGTGCTGTTCATGTGGTGCTTCAGGGACCCAACAACCAGAGCTCAGCAGGCATCAGGCTCCACCTCCACAAGGGCACGCTTGGTCCGACTGAAGAAGGAATCACCAAACAATGCCCTTTGCTGACCCCTACATGTCCATACCTGTTGACTGTCTCTTTTCTGACAGCAGAGCAGTCAAAGTTGAGCTGGGAACAGTGTAAGCTCTGAGCCCTGGGACAAGGGCATGCCAAGAGGTGGAATTCCTGTCGTTCAATATGTAAGCCATATATGTGCTATGCATAAGTAGTATGCATAGTTTTAACTTAAGAAATGTTTGTGCATATAGGATGTAAAAAATACATTTAAATTGTTTTGTGTATCTGGTCCAAGGCTTGTATTTAGCATGGACAAATTTCTGTACAGTGCCGTTAACGAATGAAAATGTTAACAGATGAAATTGTATCATAGATGTTATAACGCAATCAATATTTTTTGCTAAGAGTTAAGAATTTATATATATTCTCTGCTGGTGTTTGAGCAAATTATTAGTAGCCTGGACCGCTCTGTGCACCTTTGCATCCTTTTTGGGAATGTTGGACTCTTTTTCTTCCTTTGTAATAAAATGTAAACCATCTTATAGCTTCTTATTGTCCTTATGACAAGAGAAGAAATTTAATGGTCATATCAGACTTTTTTTAATTGTAAGTTGCCATATGCTGTGGCAGTGGAAAATCTTTTTGATTAAGATCTGAGAAGTCAGGAACTTATTTTAGATAAGTGAACAATCTGTAGTTCCCACCAAATTTGAAAAGAACAAAAGACAACTACTATCTTTAAAAACTTGGCCAGTTAGATATTTGCTACTGACTGTTTTTCAACATGATAATTTATGATTCATTGAGCCTGAAAGTCTGAAGCAATCAGAATTTAATCTTTATATTGTATTTTCGCTTTCGGACTTTAAACTTAAAGTTTTTTCCTGTGTCTCTATCCCGTTGACATTTATTACACTGCAAAAATTTTCCCCTGGAAATACAAGCAGAAAATATAACAGATTCTGCAGAGAACTTGGGGCACCCTGTGGGGCTCTCAGTGTCCTGCTGTCATAGTGAGCACCAAGATCTCCCTCTGCAGAAGCTAGAAGGAGATCCTGGTCTCACAGGAGGTGCTCATTGCCTGCAGATCTCATTCATTAGGATAGAAGAGTGATTTTTCTATAAATGATCCTATTGCTCATTTGTATTCAGATTTTATCACTGTGGTAGATGTTACTGAAATACAAGAAGAGTCTTTAGTTTTTTGTTAATGTCAGCTGACTCTCTTTCTTTTTTCCTTCCTTTATTCTTAGAAAGATTTTGCCTGGACATGACCCAAAGCTTGGTGTGTTGTTTGGATGAGGAGAAATTTTCTGTGATGGAAAAGACCAATAGAACCAACACATGCTGGTTAAGGCTTTGGGCTGGGTGAAATTTGGGTTCATTTGGGAGAAAGGCTTCTTGAGAGAGCCTCTCCCAGAAGAGTAGTTTTATCTCTGAAACCTGTAAGGCTGCGCTACCAAAACACTGCATGGGGCCCTAAGAAATGGTGTTTGTATCTGCATCTCTCCCACAGCATTCTGGGCATGTACCCTGCATCGAGCACACCGACCAGCTGTAGCTATAAATGAGCCCTCAAGAGTTTTATTTTGTACTTTTATCTTGAGATATATGACAGATATATTATGTAATATTGTTATGGGTTATGATCTAGCCAGTTTTTTTTTTTAATTTAATTTTCAAGAAGGCAATCTACAACTGTGTGTTTTTATTCTGCTGTATTTGTCCATATTTCCTATGATGATATTCCCAAATAAATCTGATTTGAGGGCAAGGATTGTGAAGCTCCTGAGTGTTAGTTACATATTTGATTTCCTGGAGCATTTTTGCTCCTTTGTGTATGACTGACTTTGAGCAGTGACAGTGTGTATATATGGTTGTTTCCAACCCTTTCACCCATTTGGCACTCCACAGTTTTCCCATTATTGTCCCAGTTTGCCACACAAAACTCACTCACATCCTCATGGCACATTTGAAAACAATTTTTTTAAGCTAGCCTTGCCTTCTTAGCCTTTATGGCTAAAACAGCCCTCACATGAAGAAAATCATAACAAATAAAATATTTTTTATACAAAAAAATTCATACTATAGTTGAAATTGAAGGAGCCACTGGGACTGTACTTGTTAGCAACAATTCTTCAGGAAGGGTATGATTTTGAGGGATACCTCCATGGCATGGTGTAAATTTTATAATCCAAGTTCAGTGTGAATGGAATTAAACAGGGCCCCTATCTACTTGGATTGAAAATGAATGGAAAGATTCCCATAGGCTCAAACATGTATCAAATCCTGACTAGGTACATGATGAAAATAAATCAAGACAACTACTTTATACCACATTCTTTGCAGTTCATCTTTTCCAGGTGCCATGTGAGCTACATGCACAAAGGACCTTCTTCTTGTAGAGATGCCAGAAGTCAAACAAGCCACTACTGTGATAAAAATAGTTTCAAATTAACAAATCAAGATCATTAGTGGTAAGTGCCTAAAATGTGTATTTTGAACAGACTGTACAGTTATTGTATGAGAAAGAGGAAAATGTAAGTATGACTAACATTCTCCAGCAGCAGATTGGAGATTTCTGTGTAGAGTACTTTAGCAGAAAAAGGTTTGTCTGAAAGGGGAGTACATCCTTTTAAAATAATTTTTAAAAAAATCTCTTCCTTGAAAAACAGTATGGAAAAATGAGTGGAATTGAATTTAATGCTATGAGTAAAAGAAATTGTCCTCTGTCAAACACTATGCAAACATTTATGCTACTTCCCTGGAATAATTTTACTTTCCTGCTCATTTAAGTATTTAATGTGTCTCCAGAGACTCCTTTTCCATGTCCCAGGGCAAACATTCAGAAGTTTTATCAAACTGTGAATATCTAAGTTTTCTCCTGGGAACAAAGAAAGTCATAACTGTGGAGTTATAAATGGAAAAAATCTGTTATAAAAAATGGGAAAAAATCCCTTATAAAACTTCTGGGATGAACTTTGCTTCAAAATACATTCTTTGTGCTTAGGCCAGTCCTTTGCTTGTGACTTTTGAGTGGAGAATTGTTGGGGAACTTTACATTAGCTGAACTTGGACAGATAATATCTTAACAAAATCAGCTATTCTGAGATTACATAGTATATGAACTTTAAAGCTGTTGAGTTTTATGCATTTGCAACATCCTGTATAGGTCATTATTACAAACCAGAAGTAATGGAGTTGTGGCCAAATAAGGGGGTAAAAATCAAAATGGTAGGTGCACTCTTTACTTTAGGAGGGAAGTTAAGCAGAAACAGAAGTTTCTTCATTTTTATTTGGACTGTAGTTTTAAAGCTTTCTCTTCACCACATAGGACCTAATGCTGGTGCACCTACAAGCAAAAGTCCTGAACCTGCAAGAAAGACTGTGGGACTTGTATCATAATACCATGAATAAACTTAAAGTTACATGAAAGTATTGGTAATTATTTGTACAAAGTCAGATATGATTATCTCAATCAAAATTCAATGAGCCAAAGGGTCAAATTCACCTATGATGCATTTCCATAAAATCCAAGAGAGATGGTGTCATTACACCAGAAATTAATTTGTTAATTGGATAGTAATTGGTTGTTTCTTGCTTTCTCTGTATTCAACTGGCTTACAGATTTTGTTTTCTGTGGTGCAGGGTACTCTGAGGGCCTAATGTCTCTGTACAAAGCATGTGTTTAAGTTTAGGCCATCTTGAATTCTTTTATTGAAATTGTCCTTCTTTATCTTTGAGACTGCTCGACTTAGAGAGAAGTGTATTTTTCTTACTTGTCAGAAATTAACATTCACCTTTACTTTTTGGGGTTCAGCAGGACTTCACAACTGGAAATAATGGCAGCATATTTGGGTCACATTTTAATACATGATGCATCTTTATTTTAGTGTTCCCACCCGGGGAAGACTCCTAATCTGCTAGGCTCAAGGTGGTTTGGGGTAGGGCAGAACTGTGACTGCAGCCAGAGTAGCTCTGGAGGACATGTGTGTGGTTTCAAGTAAATAGCAGATACAGGACCATGACTACAGAGTTGATATTTCCCGTAAATTAGAGAATAAAAATGTCATGAGCAATTTAAATATTATTTATAGTTGACCTTCATGTCTGTTTTTAATATTCAATCTGCTGAGTGTTTAAAAAAGCAATTAAAAGTCCCATATAATGTTAAAACCCTTGATAAATGTAATAAACAAATGACATATTCAAAAGAGAGAATCTATGTCCCATTAGGAGAGAAAAAGAAAGATGAGAGCAACATATGGCAGTATAATTAGAATGATTAGGGAAGCACATCAACAGAATTTATGCTGCAGGGAAAATGTAATAAGAAACCAACACACTTTCCTCACTGCCTTGAAAACTGCAAATATCGCTCTCTGAAAGGGAGAAGATGCAGAAAGGGTCCCTGGCATTTAAAGCTGTAACTTGTGTTCTTCTGTCATTATTAAAGATGCACACAGCCATCTGCAAACCATTTATTTTTTGCAGAGTTCACATTGTCCCATTGCTTTGATTAATAAGGAGCAATATTACACCTCAGCTGCTTTTCAGAAAGATGCTATTTTGGAAACCTAATTAATACTCATTCCACAGTTAGCTTGAGGTGTTCGTTAGTGCCAGATACTGAGTTCTTATTTGTTTCTCATTATGTGGAGAGTATTGCCTCTCAATGCCAGCCTTCTTGTTTTGCATTTTGGAATAACCTTTCGACACTCCTGCTTCCCACAGCCCTCCCCTTCAGAAGAGCTAATAACACCTGCCATCATTATTTTCACGTGCCTGTTAATGTCTGTTGAAGACATTGTGGGCTATTTACATAGATAGACTATCCTGATGCACAGCAAATATTCCTGCTATTTTCTGAACAGTTGGGCCAAAGAGAAAAGCAAAATTTAGGAACTTGGAAATGCAATTAAAATCTCAGTTTACCACTAAGGGTCAGTATATACTAGGCAAATGAATCATTACAAAATTGAGAGTGTATGGCCTAGCAGAATACCAAATAATTTTTCTGCCCTAATCCCCCCAGATTATTTAATGAAACCACAAAAACTCTGCAGCAGAATATAGACACTGAACTTGTTTAAACCCCATCAGCCCACTTTGATGAAACAGCCTGAGGTTTAGCAGAGGGTGCACAAATATCTTGCTTGAGATTTGCTCCAAGTGCTGCTATCCTCAGTGGAGGATAAAGGAGGGAATGCAGCAAAGCAGACGGCATTTAGCATCCACCCAGCTGCCAAGCATAATGCTGTGCATGAAAAGGTTAAATGTAATTGCACATGTCAGGAATCAACAGAACAACTGAGGCCCTTTCTGGAGCTCACTCTTGCGCTGAGCTGCTATAGAAAAAAATAATAAAAAGAATGAAAGAAGAACATCTGTGGGCCTGGGTACTAGCATGGATGCAATAGGAGAGGAAGAAAGGGGAGTTTGAGGGACAGCATATTTTAAATGTGCCCTTACATTGTCCCCCCAGGGTTAGTGGACAGACAATGCCTTATTTTCTGCAGGAATAAGGTCCCTCATGAAAAAAAACTTGTCTCAAGAGAAAAGAAATGAGGAGGGGAGCCCTGCACCAAGCAGGACATTTTGTTGTACAGTGCCAGCTGTACAGAAGCAGAGCTGCAGCCTGCAGGAGCCCTGCTTGGGTCCCTCCCCAACCATCACAGCCAACCCAGGCCAGCTCTGGAGAGAGCCCCCAATGCTTCACCTTCTGGAGTAAGAGAAATGCTTTTTTTTAAAGAGTGAAAGCCACCACCAGCCTGGCCCCTGGTGCTACAGGAGGTGCAGATGAACTGGAAGCCCCTTCCTTACTGAGTGCCTGGACCCTGGACACCATGGGAGGCCTTTGCCCAAGCACAGGCAATAGAACCTCTTCTGCAGCCCTGCCTCAGAGTCACTGTTGGATGTGATACTTTTGGTAAAATAACACCAACAGTGCAAGAACTAATGGTGATTTTTCAGTTTACATTACTGGGGAGAAATAATGGTGCTATGAGAAGACAGTGGGTAAATCCTTGAAGACTTTAGCAGAATTTATAGCAATCTTAAAAAAGAAAAAGCAAGAAATCCAGTAATTAAATTGATAGCAGGATAATAGAAGCTTTCCTGTATACTCCACATCATATTTCCCCAAAGGAAAGTATGTTTCAGCCAAAATCTATGGTCTTTCTCAAGCAAAATTCCTCTGACTTCAGGGGAAAGCATGCTTTAGAAAACATACTTCAGAATGCTTTAGAAAGAAATTTTAAATCTTAATGTCTACTTAAGTATGATCTGATTTTGCACTGGAGAATAGACAACATATACCATTCTGAAAGTCAAATACAGTTCAAACTAAATCTGGGTGGGTTTTTTCCCTTATTATTTATAAAGTGTAATTAAACTCCAGTCCAACTGTCAGCCTGAAACAGGATGTTCAGAGGTGAATTCTCCAAGCTCCCGTCAGGTGTTTTGGGTGTTGCCTTTGAAATGCTGAGATTCCACAGTGTTCAATACCTTGTCCTGGTCTCCAGTTCTGTAAATCATGTCCATCCTTTTCTTTGCTCACAGGTCCTGCACAGTTCTCATCTGCAGCCTGTGGGTACCAATAACCAGCAGAAAGCCATTGACATCCAAAGTGCTTCATTAGCTAGCAGCACAGAGAGATGGTGTGAGGTGAAACGCCAGTGACTGATACACAGACTCTGGCAACAAGAAATTTTGTGAAGAGCCTGGTGCTGTGTGAAAGCAAAGCCATGGCAGAGCTGGGACCAGAGCCCAGCTCTTCTTGCTGCCATTCCAGACCTGACTGGGGCCATTCAAACTGTTTCTGAAGGATCATTTCCTTCTTTTTTTGTTTGGGACATAAAAAGCTCTTAGTCCTGTAAGTCTTGTAGTGGCTCCTGTATAATTGCAGAGTCCTTCTTTAGTCTTTCTTGCACACCCTTGCTGAGCTGGAGTCATGGATCCTGTCTGCAGTGTTTCTTCAGAAAATGGAACCAAAGAGGACAGGATAGAGAGATACAGATGGAAGGAAATAATGACTTTTAAATATAAAGAAACACTAGTTGACAGATCCTGTTCTCAGCAGGTCTTCGTGGAAGACCTGAGATTGTGAAATCAGTGAAATCACCATGCAAGGCATAGACAAAAGTCTCTGTGTTTTCCTATATGTAATAGATTTTATTATTTTGTTTGTTTGTTTGTTATTTTTGTTTGTTTGGGGTTTTTTGCTAGCTCAACCCTTTAAAAGAGACTTGCATCAGTGGAATATTAAAGTGAGGATAAAACCTAAGTATCAAACAGTTAATACAAAATGACAGTGAATTCATTTAAAAATCTGCCATTGATTGAAAAATTGAAATAATCTGTAAAGTGTGACTTTCAAGAAACATTTTTTTCCTTCTCCACCTTATTCCATTTTATGCCATAGAATTTTTGTGGTCTAAAAAACAAAAGGATGGTATGAACCATGCTGACCTCAGCCAAAGCCCTGGGACTCATTCCCAAGGTGAGTTTGTGCAGCTAGCAGTGCTGTCACTCGCTGGCTCAGCTGAGCCAAACACAGGGGGCAGGAAGGCTGTGACCCGTCCTGCCTGCAGGTGACAGAGGGGAATGTGGCACTTTACCAACAATGGTAAAACTGTCCTTAACTGAAAGGGTCATGTTATATGAACATTTCTCTCTAGCAAGACAAACCCTCTGTACAACAGACAATCTTGTCTAAATTAATGTATTATTTATTTTGTACCTTTTAAATAACTTTTATTTACAACAAGCCTTAGATACAGCTCACACGCAGCAGTTAAGCTCTGGCAGTACTGACCTCGGGGAGCTAACACATTTGCGAATTACATTTCTAAGTCATAGAAAATAAAAGAAAAAAAACCCGAGTTTAAAATATCAGTTTTGTCTCCGGGAAGGAGGGCGGCAGGACCCGTGTGCGGTGCCTGCGGGCCCGGGCGCTGCCGGGGCAGGACACGGCGGGGCCGGGCAGGGCTCCGGGCAGGGCTCCGGGCAGGGCTCCGGGATGGGCTCCGGGATGGGCTCCGGGATGGGCTGGCTAATGGCCCCACTCCTCCTCCCGCTCGCCAAGCGCCTCTTCTTCTTCGGGAAACACTGACTCATTCTGGCTCTTCAGGTGCTTGATCCCTGAAAACACAGAAGTCATGGTTAAGGTTGTGTTTGACAGGCATCAGGTATTTTTTTGTGGAGGAAGGAACAGAAAACCAAAATAAGGGCAAGTTTAATGCTCATATTTGCTCCTTTTTTAAACAAGCCTCTTAGTTCAAGTCATACAATGGTAGAGATATTCTCTTCCTTGAATAAAGATTCTGAACAGTATTTGCTTCTTTTTTCCTTGGTAAGCCTTGGTCAGGTTTGTGTTGAGCACCATAGCAAAGCTGTCCTGAGCCAAGGAGAGCCTGACAGAGACTGTCCTGGCAGAGAGGAGACTGCTGGCACCAAAGCTGTGACAACACTGGACCATTTCTTACATGGATCATTTCTGTGACAACACTGGATCATTTCTTACATGGAGAATGTGTTCTTTTGACCTCCAAATACCACGAGGGGCTGGATGAAAAGGGTAAATACCTATCACAGGATATTTGGAAGTTCAAATATCCTGGTTTTGGTTATATCAAGTTTTTAGTTTGAGGGAAGTTATGCAGTGGGTACTGCTGGCTGGTTTCAGCCAACAAGTGAAGTAGACTTTATGAAAATGAATCAAATTACAGATATTTTCCTGTCTTATGTTCAGTACAAGAAAGCAAATTTCAATCAATGGGAAAATCCCATCTTCTCAGCTCTGCCTTGGTGTGGTAGAATTCAAGATGGAAAAGGAAGCAACATCACGACAAAAAGATGACAGAGAGATCAGAGAGGACATGTTATTTTCAAAAAACCTAAGGAGCAAATGTGCAAGATTAGTCTCGGGGTCCCCCAGTTTATGAGAAGCAAAGTGGGAACATAACTATTGATCAAAACTGCATGATTTGAACAAAACATAAGCCTGAATTAGGCTATTATCTGATGCTGCTACTGTCATTGCATAAAAATATTTTTTACTTCATTAAAGATCATACATAGTTCTAGTAACCATCTCTAACTGTCAGGAAAAATGCTTCCCTTTTGTATCACTTCCTCTCTATAATGACGAGAAGCAACACCCCAGCTGCTTTATATTATCACTGCTGTAATCACACACCCCAATGTGCAACCTGCAAGTCATAGCACTTTTAGGAGAACATTTTTCAAAAAGGCTTCACTCTTGAGGGGTGAGGGCAAGATCCTGATTACTGCTAATTGTGAGTAAGAAGAATTGATGATGGTCTGAGAGCTTTGGCCCCAGTGCCTCTTATTCTGGAAGTTCCTACACCTCACTGTTTATGTCCACACCACTCCAAAATACAGGATAGATTTTTTCCAAATACATAAGTTGAAAAAAATCTCAGCATAAGCTATTTCAGTTCCACAAAGTTACAAATAGCTGAAAACAGTAGCACTTCTAACAGGAGTCCATCACTCTGTGCTGGGCCCTGGGCTCCTCTCTCTCTTTTCTTCCACACAAATGACAGCACACAGTTCCTGGGAAGCTGTTGTCCTGACATAAACCAAGCAAACACATTAATGCTCCAAAGCCACAGTTCTTGTAAGTGTGCCCTGCAATAATCCAGCCATTTCCAATTAAGAACTGTGATACATGAAGATGCTCAGCTACTACCAAGCTCTTTAGCAACACCCTTTAGTAAGACAAACACTTTAAATATGATTTCACCTAAGTGCAGGTTAATGGACATTTGTTTCCAAATTATGTTTTGTTTTTAAGGTAAATTTTTCTCCTGTTGTTTCTTCTGCACTTACAGAGCCATTTCTTGCACAATTGACAGTGCTCATCTAACAGCTGCTGTTCAATTCTGTCAGGAATTACTAGAGCCAGAAGGAATAATTTCTTTAGGGAGCTTTTCAAAGATGAGGAGGGCAAAGTTATGGACAGAAAATAAGGCATGTCATGCATGGTATGATGAAACCATGGAACTGTATTTTTTGTAGGGGTGAAGACTTTTGGCCATGTGGTTTAATTGCAATATTAAATATGAAAATTGTAGGAAATTGAGAGAAATTACATCACTGAGCATTACCCATTGATTTTTGCATGGCAAGTAGCTATTGATCTTATTTAATGATTTTTTGATAAACTCCATTCTGCAGCCAGCCTTCACCTCTGCCAGTCATTTTATGCTACAGTGTCCCTTGGAAGTTTCCTCCTCTGACCAGTAAGTGCACAAGACTTCATGCAGTTATATATAAGCCTCAAGATGTTCTCACACATCAGGTTGTCAGAATGAGCTGACCCTTGGTGTGGCATTACAAAATAAGATGCTCATCTACACAATGGAATAAACCAGTGTGAACTGACATAGAGGTAATGAAATTCCTGTCAGTAACATATGAACATGTATGACAGGAAATGCTGGTAACTGCCCTGAAAAGACACATTTCCTGCACAAAGCTGCCAACTTTTACAGTGCAAAAAATGGCCTGGAGTAAAAAAACTACTGAGTTAAGTTACAGCAATCAAACTCCTGGATTAAAAGCATATCTAGCCACATTACATTGCAGCAGCCCACAGTGGCTGCGAAGGAGGGTCAGGAGGCACCAGAGCTGGGCAGGTGCACACTGGCACATTCAGGCACATTCAGGCACAGCTCAAGAGCAGAGGCTGGGACAGTGGCTCTCCAGGGTGGCTCCAGAGGGGTTATCCAGGCTGTGCCCTACCCTTTGTCAATTTGAGCCATGTGACAAGCAGGTAGCGGGGTGAAGCTCTACCCACAGAGTGCATTGCTGGATCAGTTCAGCATCTTTGCTTAGCAATATCTATTATCTATTTATCTTTGCAATATATATTGTTTGCCGAAAGGTTAGATTCTTTTAGAGACTGAATAAAAATTCATTACTCAGGTCACCTCAGCCAGTTTTACAACCATGACTATGGCAACGCTAATTTATGAGACAGGATATTTCCTTCTCATATTTCCAATCTTTGTACCAGTGACACAGCTCGTGCCCTCAGCTTTCTCAGCTAGTAACCAAGAAGGACCAAAATGCTGTAGTTTGGGGGTTATTTCTGTTCACTGATTGAACACAATGTAAAGATGAGCATGAAATACAGACTGTAAGATTTTACATGTGGCAAAAAAAAACAAAACAAAGCCAGGATATTTTATAAGAAATTGTTTGCGTGTAAGAGCACATCCAAGTTAGAAACATCAAGTTACTGATTCCACATAAACTGCACAAGCTTTACAATGTCAGTAGCAAATAGGGAGGACTAAATGCTGATCCATACAGTGACCCAGTCCCATCAATGTCCCTTTTTCCAAGCAAGGAATTTGTGGGCACTCAGCTCCCTGAATTGCTGTGCCTGCACTGTCCTGATGCTGCTCTGTTTCTCTCACTGGGTGCCCTGCCCTGCTGTGCCCTTTCCTGGGGATGGGGCTCACAGGGTGCCACCCATCCCCTGTCCCCATGGGTTCCCAATCCCCTCTGCACCCGACCCAGCCCCTGCTTCAGTGTCACCCCCTGCCTGGGGCTCTGCTCTTCACCTGGGATGTCTGGCAGCAAAAACCCCTCCAGACCAAACACTGCCCCTTCTCACCAGCACCCACAATGTCTTCACACTCATCCTTATGCTGCTTTAGAGCAAGGACACTGAACACTGCTAAAGAACTGTTTTTTCTCAAAGGGCTTATATTTCACTGCAGGTAATTTAATACATTTAATGTTGATAAACAAACCGATAATTCCAAACCAGATTGAGAAGCCATATACAAATATAATTTGAACTGGCAATTCCTTTTTAGATGAAGTCATTGTTTCAAAGAATATTCGTAGAATTCTAGATTCTTTTAAATTATGAATGAGAATGGGACAATTTTGTGTCATTTTTGTAGTCACATCACATCCATGCTGCTTTATCAGCAGCTGTCTTTTAGCTTCTCTCCATCTAACCAAAGTACCAGCTTAGAAAGCTAAGTAGGGTCACAAGATTTGAAACAACCAAGTGTTCCTGAATTAAATGTCTCCTGAAAAAAATTTTAAAAATATTCAAGTAATTAAGGCAGCTCCCTATCCTATTTAACACTTCTTCCTTCACTCCACTGCCCAAGGAAGGGTGTTGACATTTACCAAACTCAGGATTGAAGTCTGGTTGGCAGCTTGAATTCCCTAAAGTTTGAAGGGTTATTTAGTTTTATGATTTGGAGCTGATCCTCTCTCTAGCAAAAACACATTTCCAGATTTGCAGAAAGCAGTGAAAGGCACAGATAAAACAGGCTCATTTTCAGTGTTTCAGAACTCAAATCACTTTGAAATGATTATGCAAACAGACCTGGCCAAAGAGGATAACAGCAAAATAAAAACATCTCAGCCAGTGTTTAATTGTTTTCTATTTTCCTTTGAAAAAATGAGAATATCAAAAGCAATATTATAGGCTCATACCTCTAAACAGGAAAAATGACTATTCTTTGTAATGGTATATTCTGGTTTGCATTTAACAGTTAAATACGTTTCAATTATGTTTCTCCAATGTGTCTTCCTCATAATGGTTTTTTCCCAATTCAAGTTTTGATTTAAAATATGCCAACAAAACAAACAGACAGAGAACACAAATTCCAAACAAGCAACAACAACAAAAAAACAACCAGAAAAAACACCTCAAATTAATGTCATTAAATCCAGGATCCACCACAGGTCTTTGGCTGGGCTGGGTGCAAAGGAAAGCCCTTGTGAAGAGCCAAAGGAAGCTGGCAGTTCTTCCAGGGCAGGCTCTTCCATGTGCAGGGATGGCCCCACAGTTACAGGAGATAACAGCTGCTGTTATCAGGTCAGGGGCACCCCTGGGGCACCTAACAGCAGCCTGCCTGTACCCAGGAAAGGAGCCCAGAGGGGGAAGGTGTCTGGCTGTGAATTGGAAGAGAATATTTTCTGACTGGATATAAGGAAGAAATTATTCCTTAGAGTGTATTTAAGCACTGGTGTGATTTCACAGTGAAAATGTGATTTGTCTCTTCAATGAGATTTTCAGTACTGAACTAGACAAAGCACTGGACAACCTTGTTAAACTTGGTGCTAATTCTGATTTATGCATC